TAATTTGTATAAATATCTTTACATTTAATTTTATATATTAGATCAATGTTCTCAAAATTATATAAATAATAGATTGAATTAAATATGAGTAGAACTCACCATATAATTTTTTACAATAATATGAGTAGAATTAAAGAATTTGGTAAACCTTAGTTTTTATCAAAATATTTTTATTTGATATATTTAGATTATTATAAAAATACTTGATTAATCTCAACTTATTTTATTCTTTTTCTTTAGACGACTAAGCTTGCATTTTCTTTACTTACAATTTAGTTCAAAATTATAGTGTTAGAAAACATTTATGGTTTTTAGATGATGCCACTTATTTCCATTTTCTTTCAAGTTATGTGTTAGATATAATATGTTGTTAAGTAATTGTGTTATATATAGTTTATTTTGGTTAAGCGGATTTGTAGTTCCATGAAGGTTTGCCTAGTTGTTACCATGAGTTGTTTTCTTTTGAAGTTGGCGGATGTATTTTCACTTAGCCTTTGAGACTAATCGTTTATGTGAATTTCTGGGTTTTTTTAGATTTTGGTATTTTGTGATTGTTTGTGGTTGAAAATATTTATACAAATGTTTTCGGTGTATTTCAAAGTTGTGGAACGTGATTTGGACGCAAAGGCAGAGGGTTTCTTGGTGAAGATAAAAGAAAAATATTCTAAATCATATTAGTAGTATGATCTTGAGGTTTTGAGGGCCTTGTGAGCACTATGTCATGTAATATTATGTTCTTCGTGATTCTAAATCATATCAATAATGAGGATAAAGAAAAATATATTTGTTTTTCGTAAATATAATATATAAAATTGATGAATATAGATAAAATTATAGTTTTGATGCGTAAATAACAATAATAACCCATAAATGGAGATTCTTTAAAGAAATTTCATTGCAACAGCGCAAAAAACTGCAGAACTAGGAAAACCATAATAGAAAAATGATGAAATAATTATAAAATTGCCACTTATTAAAAAATTTAAAAATAAGATTAAAATTACTGAGTATCGAACTCAGAGTTGTAAAGTTTAGAATCAAAGAAAATACCACTAGACCATACGTTACTTTTTGTATAATCACATCAACTATGTTTTGAATATAATTTTGTTTTAAAAATAAAATAAATACTAACCAAATAAATTACCGAAACTTGGTTGTCTAGTTAACAAACATGTAACCAAACACCACACCACGAATTATCTTTCTGTATATTTACAGAATTTTCATTTTGTATATAGTTTTGTCTTATAAATAAAATCTTATATTAATTTTTGGTAAAATAAAATTGTTTCCGTTAGTCGTATCAAATCAGATCAGAGATATCTTTCTTTAAACTAATGGAAAGAAAATATCGAATCCGGGACTGTATTGATAACAAATAAGGAGTATACCTCCAGACCACAAATTATTATTATTTTTGTATATTTGCATAACTATATTTTGTATATAAGTTTAATAAAACCCTAAATTTATTAAGTACTACTATGAAAAATTAGACTCATAGAAACATGTAATAAAATAACTCTAACACGTGTTTTCTATGTGTATATTTACACAACTATATTTTGTATATAAGTTTAATAAAACCATAAAATTAATCCCAAATTAATCTACGATAATCAAAAAATTTCATTAGGCTATAGACCCAACTCAAAGTACGACTAGCAAATTTCTAAACAAAGCAAAAATCTAATATAATTTTATCATTAGCTAGGGTTCAAATGAAATACTGGCAACAAAATTTGTTTTTGTTGGTCGTATTGTTCGAGAATCTCTTTTTTAAAATGGTATTTTCATTTAACATCTATTTATAATTTTTTTAAAAAACATTATATCATATATGTAAAACATGTATACCTTAAATTAGTACCATATTTACAACTAGGTGAAGTAAATTTAAGTTTAAAACATGATAAAAAAATTCAACAAAGTTTTTTGTCTAAAACGTGTTAAAAATTCAACAAAAAAACTTGTCTAAAACATATTAAAATTTCAACAAAAAAACATGTCTAAAACGTGTTAAAACGATACAACATGTTTGAATATTTACACTTAGTAATACTCAAGGCAGTAGTAATATTTCCTTTTTCATAGTAATACTTTTGTAAATTACAACAATTTATAGTAATACCACATCAAAAAATAAAATTTATTAGTAATACCAATCAATTTAGGCAGTTTTCGATTGTATATAACACATTGGCAGGAAAAAAAATTCAAAAATACGTATTTTCTGTTATTCTTCTCATTATGGCATTTCCATCAAGACATTAGTATATAAATATAAAGATGTTTTCTATGGAAATGAGAAGTTTCTATCAACTTAAAAAATTAAGAGTATCTTATGTCTAATTTGACAAATAAACACATATATTAACATATTATCACGTAATATATCATATATATCTTCTAAAAATAAATAATAAGACGAAACTTAAGGTTATTAGAAACATGTATTATACATAGTAATTCAAGGTATTTTAAGGTATTTCAAGATAGTTCATAGTAGTACCCAATAGTTCATATTACACAATAGTTAGTATTGCAATACCACATGATAAATAAAATATTCCTAGTAGAACCAATGCATTTAGATAGTATATAACATTTTTGTACAAAGAAAATTCTGAAAATATGTAATTTTTGTGAAGAAAGTTTTTTTGTGGAAGTGATAATCTTTCTAATAACTTAAGAAATATTAAAAATTATAAGACTAATTTGATATCTAAACACATATGTGGACATATAATTCAAAATATATAAGTTATATCTGCTAAAAATATATAATAAGACAAGAATATAAAATTCTTATAAACATGTATAATACATAGTAATCTAATCTAAGGTAATACAAGGTAGTACAAGGTAGTCCTAGTAGTGCTAGTAGTCCACCTACACATTTATATAAATAAAAATATAATATCAAATCTTCAAATTTATATGAAATAATGTATATCTTTCCGCTTTAAGAAGAATGTAATTTTTATATTTTTCACAAAGATTATAAATGATCTGAATGCATTCATACACTTAGTAAATCCATCTATTTAATCAAAAGATTTTAATTCAGATAAATTATTTATAAAATCAAAGAAATTTGTAAATAACATTAAAGTTAAATAGATATAACTAAATTGTAATCTTAACTGATACTTTTTACACAACAATAAAAGGGGGAATTGCCAAAACCAACCCAAATATTCATTTTAACCCTAAAGGTGTACCCCATATTCATTCAATTGCAAACCCAACCTAAATGGGTGTTAAAACTACTATTTAACCCTTATGAACAAACAAAAAACGTGGAATGTATTTTACGATTCTGTCCTTCGGAGGTCTACACTTTAAGAAAGAAATCTACAACTAGGTAGACTTACATTAACGTCTACTGTGTAGACTAATGTAGACTTATTATTTAGTCTACATCTTAATTTAATCAAATAATTTAATTTTAAAAATGTAGAAAAATGTTTTTGGTAAATTTTTTAATAAATCATCAATTTAAAGGTTAGTATGAGGTATATAAATTAAATTTTCATATAATTGAAAAATTTAAAAGAATGTATATTGATTTGGGAACTATGTGGTAGAAAATGTTAATGGTTTAGCAACCAAAGGTTCTAACATGTTATGTCTTTTAGAGTTAGATTCTTAGGGTTAGATTCTAGATTTAGAATTATTTTGTTTTAATGATTCAAAATTGCATATTTAATGTTGAGTACTTTATATTTTGTATATATGATATTTGGTAAAATGATTAAGATTTATTTTATAATCAATCAAACGTTTAGGGTTTGAGATTTGGGGTTTAGGGTTTGAGATTTCTGGTTTAGGGTATAGTAGACTTACAGTTAAGTCTACTTATATGTAGACGTCTATTTCAGTCTACGTTAAGTTGTCTTTACCAAAATAAATTATTTTAAAACTAAAATTAATTAAGCGGGAAGTGAAAATGAATTTTGGAGCCTATTTTTCAATATTGGCGCCAATATTTAGGGTATAGTAGACTTACAGTAAAGTCTACTTATATGTAGACGTCTATTTCAGTCTACATTAATTGGTGTTTATCAAAAAAAATATTTTAAAATTAAAAGTAACTTAGCGGGAAGCGAAAATGAATTTTAGAGCCTATTTTTCTCTATTAGCGCCAATACTTACGGTAAAGTCTACTTCGATAGTAAACATTTTTTTTAGTCTACTATAATTGGTGATTACAAAAAAAAACTTTATTTTAAAATTAAATTTATTTATTTATGAATTAAAATGTGAATTAAATTTTATCAACAAAAAATATATACTAAGTCTACTAAATATATAATGAAAAGAAAAATTTTAGATTATATAATATAAACTATTTAAACAATAAAGATAAATATTATAGTAGACTTCTTTGGAAGTCTACCTAAGCTAAAGTTTTAACCAAAATAATTTTAACCAAGCCAAAATTAAACCAAAGAGTTTTAATCTAACCAGAAAAATGACTTGACATATAAGTACTCTTTCCTATTAAAAAAAAAGGGTGACAAAAAAAAATAAGCTGAGCCCATGACAATAAAAAAAACCAACGAACCCTACCCTCGCCGCCGTATCTTGTTTTCTGCTCCGGCGGTTGGTGCTCATCACCGCCACCGGGAGCGGTCCCATTTCTCCTCTCTTTAGGTCTCTCTTGCTTTGATTTTGGCAACTTGTCACTGTTTTTAGTTTGGTTTCAGATCTGGGTTATGGAGAAATCCGGTGTCTATGGTGTCGGATCTTGTTCGTGTGTTGCTTGGATGGAGAATCGGTGCGTGTTGGGCCTGTCGGCCAGGTGCGATGGTCATTAGCTTATCCAGCTTGTTCTGGTTCTGTTGAAGATGGATCTATGGTACAGCTTGGCAGAAGCTGTTAAAACCGTCACCAAATATTCAGGGTAATGCAAGAAAGCTGTTTTTTTTAATCTCAGTAAGTTTGCTTATCTTCGAAAATTTGAACTTTTAGGTCAAAGCTGGTGAGGAGATATGGAGTTATTGAGTGTGACTCGCTCCTCCTTGCAGGACTGGAAAAAAAATGTGAGTTAAGATGTCTCTTTGATTTAAAGCTAATTATGCCATTCATGAACTATTATATGATCTTTCATTGTTCTTTTCTCATGCAGGCTAAGCATATGTTATGGTCAACAAAAAGATGGAGAGGGTATGGTTTGATCAACTCTTTTTTCTTTGGCCGATGGTCAAACAAGGCCTCAGGTTCTAAGGCTGAGAGAGAGGATAGTATTAGAAGAACAATATATGTTTCTGACATTGACCAGAGTGTAAGTTTGTTACACTCTTTTAAAAGTACATGAAAGAATAAAAGGTTAAAAAAAAATCTAACACAACTGTGCCTTGTGATTTAGGTGACTGAGGAGGGTCTTGCTGGCTTGTTTAGTAACTGTGGACAAGTAAGATTATTTTTCAGCTTTAAGTTTATATATCTTTTACTCTTTGTGGGTGTTGGACAATGTGATTAATTTAGACAATATTTTTGAGTGTGTAAGATAGGTAAACCTAAGGTTTTAAAGCCTTTATGTGCTAAATATTACTGCAAATAATTTCAGATGACCTAAAAGGTATATAAATGGTTGTGAAGTAATAGAGAATTCTTGTTTTGTGAAGGTTGTTGATTGTCGTATTTGTGGGGATCCACATTCAGTTCTTCGATTTGCGTTTGTCGAGTTTACAGAGGGTGCACGGGAAACTTCTTTGAGTCTGCATGTGGTGAGGTCAGAACAGAACCTAAACCTACCTGATTTTCTCTCTGTTCCTCTTCCCCTTTCTTGTTAAACCTTTTTTTAATAATGAAGGTAACTCGCCTAAGGCTTCTTGGTGATCAACTGCATTCAACTCGCATAGCTTTTGTTGAATTTGCTCTGGTGAGCTCTTTGGCTATTCACTGGATTTGTTTGAATTTTCTTTTGCTCATTTTACTGAAACTAGACGTTTACTTGAGCATAATGTTTGACTAAGAGATGAAAGATGAATTAACAAATTTGAAAAACGTTTTCTTTTATAAATGAACAGGCAGATATTGCACTTAGGGCGCTCAGTTGCAGCGGGATGGTCGTTGGATCCCAGCCAATTAGGTAAGCTTCATCGATGCAGTATCTTAAATATACTTTTTTCTTTCTTTCTGGACATCTCAAGGGTAAGTCCATCAAAGACACCAGTAAGGCCAAGAATCACTCGACCACCTTCCACAAACTAGAGATAGAGACCGGACATTTCATTTCCTTCAGTAATCTTTTTTTTTGTTTTGTTTTCCAGCTTTCATTATCTAATTTTCAGTTTTAAAACAAGAGTGTTTGGACATACCTCTGTCTCTGGATGCACTGAAACAGCTCTTGCTTGATCTCAATCAGTAGCCTCACTTGTATCAAATTCTATGTGGTATGATTCAACTTTGTTGCCTGAACAATATCTTATCTTATTGTTTAAGTGAGTATAATGGGTAACAAATTGGATGGAAAGTTATAATCAGCACTCAAACACACGTACTTAGTGTCGTCCACTGACACACAAGATTGCAATGTAGTGAATAATATCATTTAAATAGTGAAAAACGTCTATATATATCAAATGGCCAACAACAATGAGGTACGATGACAACTCCTATAAGCTTTCTACAAACGAGAACACTGTAACAAAAAATTACAACTCCTATATAATTTCTACAAACTAGAACACTGTAACAGAAAATTATACTGTAGACTTACCAGTCTACGATTATTAGCTAACAACATGGACAAACAAAATTTTTGATATCTTCCTAATTATAACAAATTATCTTCTAAAAATCATTCAAGACCTTTATGATTAAATAACACACATTTTCACTAAAAAAAAATTAACGTAGACTTACAAGTACATCTACAAATTTTAAGCTAACAACATAGACAAACAAAAAATTTGAAAACTTCCTAACTATAACAGATTATCGAAAGAAAATCATTCAAGACACTTATGATTAACTAACACACACTTTCATAAAAAAAAGTTTTGAAAAAATTTAATGAATAATACAAAAATCCACTTTTGATAGATTTTACATGGTAGACTGCATATTCAGTCTACAGACGTGTAGACGTTTTATTCAGTTTACAGGTTTAGACTGAACATTAGGTTTACGTTTAGGTTGGTTTCTGCAATTGCCAAATTCACGGGTTATTTTCTGTATTTGAAAAAAATGTGATTTTATACGAGTAGACTTACTTTTTAGTCTACATTTTTTAAAAGGTTAGTTTTGCAATTGACCAGAATTCGATCAGAGTTTGACTTTTAGAAGTAGACCTATTATGCAGTCTACATTTTTAAATTTGTTTGAAAGAGGTTAGTTTTGCAATTGACCAAAGTTGACTTTCTACGAGTAGACAAAACTAAATGTCTACGTAACTGTAGACTGCAGTAAAAGTCTACATTATAACCCGACATGTTAGTTTTGCAATTGACCAACATAAAATAGTAGACTTCTTATGCAGTCTACCTTTTTTTTNCTTCCGTAGACTTACCTAGCAGTCTACAAAGTGTAGACCTCCACGAAAGTCTACTATGGTAAGTCAAAATTTTGGTCAAATGCAAATCTAACCTGTTTTATGTAGATTTCTTAGTAAGTCTACCAATTTTTTTGTTTTTGGTTTCAAAGGTAAAGATGTTGACGTACTTGTAGGTCTACATTACAAAAAAAATTATTTTAGTCAATTGCAAAAGTAACTTGTGCGTTGACAAGTAGACTGCATCGTAACTCTACACGTATGTGTAGACATATAATACAGTCTACTTTCGCGATACAGATCAGAGATATGACGAAAAGCATGTAAATAGTTACCTTGACACCGGTTTAAAGCTTGTTTCCAACCTTTTCCACCGTCCAGAATCCAAATATGAGCAAAAGAAGCAACTTTTACGATTCACTTGTGGATAAAATCGAAACTATGAAGTTTGTGTTTATGAAAATGAGAGTTATGAGGATTGTTTAGATGAAAATAGAGTGGAAATGAGAGGAAATGATGTATTGTTTGTTTAGAAAGTGAAATAAGTGGTTGAAATTTCATAAACACAAGCTTAAAGAGCTCATCAATGGTGGTTTTGGGTGGTTGCAAATATTTATGACAATGGCATTATGGTAAATAAGGAGAAATGTTTAGGGTGTAATAGGTTTTTCATAATTTTCGAAAATAAAATCAGATTTAAAAATAATGGCAATTTGGTAAATAGCTGGAAACATGAGGAGAGTTTAGGTTTTTTAAGAGTGAATAGTAATGACAAAAAAAAAGAGGTTGGTTTTGTGTTTGACTTGAATTTTTGGGTTGGTTTTGCAAAACCCCCACAATAAAAAGTGTCAAAAATATTTTTTTTTTTAAAAAAGAGAATAGTATTTATAATTTATGTAGATTGTTAAAATAATTACAAATATAAATTGTAAAAATATGAATTATATTATTTTTCAATCTGAAGGCCATATAAAATATATAAAAACTTATATTATGGGAACTTGAAATTATTTTTCATTAAGAGATTATTGAAATATATGTTTTATTAAATTCATAGTTTTAAAAGTATTTTTATGTAAACAAATTATATAATTTTTATTAAATTTATTTTAAAATTGATTGTCGGTTAAAATATTATTAAATTTTGTATTTTGAAATATTATTGAAATATTTATCTATATTTTCAAAATTAATTTTTGATTAAAATATGAAAATATCTTATTTTAAATTTGATTGCTTTATATAAAAGAATTAAACAATTTAGTTATGGGAAAATGACTAGAATAACACTAAAAATTTTTTTGTCACAAATATAGCACTTAAGTATTAAAATGACCAAAATAGCATTTAATGTTTTCTCAAAAGAGATAAATATACACATATATCCCAATGATAAATTAATTTATACATTAAGGTTTAGGGTTAAGGGTGGGATTTAGGGTTTAGGGTTAAGGGTGGGATTTAGGGTTTAGGGTTTAGAGTTTAGGGTTTAGGGTTTAGAATTTAGGTTTTAGTGTTTAGAGTTGGGGAGTGGGGTTTTGGGGATAAGATTTCAATTTTTGAACAATAAAAAAAATTTAAAAAATTTTAAAAGATAAAATGCTATTTTGGTCATTTTTGTTTTTGAGGACTATTTTTATGACATAAACTTAGAAATGTGCTATTATGGAGTTTTTCTCTTTAGTTAAAGAAAATTAATTAATTTAAATAGTTTATTAAATTTATTTTTCAAATTTATTTTTGATTAAAATATTAGTTTAATAATTTATTTTGTTATTTTATTGTTTATAAGAATATTATTCAGATAAACATTTTCTTTATTTTCCATAATTCCTTGGCTATATTAATTATTTAACAATTTAAAAAAATAAAAATATTTGGAATATATAATCTGTGATCCATCCAGAAAATAAAAAAAAATCTAAAAAGTAATTTAATCTGCAAAGAAAAAATATAGGATCTATCCAAAAAAAATAGTGGATCCCGTGATAATTTGGAAGAAAAAAAATAAATAAAATAGGGTAAGAAGGTAAAAAAAAAAGAAAGGTTAGATAATTAAAAAAATGGTGGAATAGTAAGAATGAAAGTTTTCTAACTAGGTCATATAAGAATACTTTCCTATATTAGGTTTTGTCTGAAATTTTTGTGGCCACCAACCATTGATTTACCAAATCCACACAAAAAAAATTATAAGTTTTTATGGTTGTATCAAATACATAGATCTATTCTTTATTATTTGATTTAAAACCTTCCAACACAGAAAAATCCCACTTTTTTCGATTTTTTTGACCGAACAAGATGAAATCAGAACGGTCAAGCTCCGACTAATGTTCCAGCGCTGCGTAATCGGGCTCTACGACCGCCTTTTCGCACAGGGAGTCAGACTGATACGGAAGGAGAAAAAGTGATACAACCAGATGAAAACAAAAGTGATCTAACCAGTAAACTAATAAATTGGAGACGGGGAGATTGACAAAAAAAAAAGAGGAGACGAGGAAAACGGTAAATGAAATAATAGTTTATTTGGTGTGAAACCCAAGCAATTTTTCTCTTTAAGAAAAATAACTAAATCAAGAATTATTCACTCTGTTTGACCCAAAAAAAAAAGAATTACTCACTCCATTTCACAATATAAGATATCCCCTATATATTATTTGAGAATCATTTAAAAAGTTGTAACCTTAATTTTGTAATAATTAAAAATAACCTCAATCCTATGTGGCATAGCTCTTTGGCTTCTATTTCAAATTCCAAGGATTCTAGAGCATGTGATATAATGTATAGTCTGAAATTTATACTCTCTAGCAATATAATATTTCCTAGGCTATAGTTGGTCGCATATATCAAATATTTATTGTTTCGCATGCTTTCCTTAAATAAAACCTACGGAATTACCTAATATGATTAAAATATATATATGACAATTAATGACTTTAAACAATAAAGATTTGATAACAATATGTATACTTTTTCTCATTTTGTTTATTTATTTGTTATTAAAATAAATTACACAATTACATTAATCATATAATAAAAATCTAGATTTCTTTTTGTGTATGTTGTATTTCGAATTTTTTTTAAAATGAGTATAAATTACTAAAACTGTTAAAAGTCTCACATAAAATTTTAGGATCAAGGTTTTAATTTTTTTTCTATATTAAAATATAATGATGACCATATGAAGAAATAATTTTAATTTATATATACTTCATATCGTTTTAATTAAACTATTCATCGTATGAAAATACATACTTATATTTTGATATTTGCATTGAACATATATTGAAAATTTAATATTTTAATTTTTAAATATGTCAATTTTTTTTATAATGATTATAAATTATTGAAACTACTAAACATCTCAAATTAAAAAAAAAATCGTTGGTGTAAAGTTTTGTTACACAAATATGCAAATAATCATAAAATAATGTGAGTAGAAACCTCATTTAATAAATATCCATATTAAAATTGTGCCTATATTAATATGTTTATATCATTTTAACTTAATTATATATCATATACAGTATATAAGATTGATTATTTTGATTTATTTACCCTAATTGCGAATAAACAAGAGTTATAGTTAAATTTATATGCATACGCCAATTTATTACATAATAGTAACTGATTTCTTAGTTATTTAATATATATATTTATTATTTTATAATATGCAGAAAAATATAAAATAACTATAAAATATTTATTTTGCATAAAGTGCAGATCTTAACCTAAGTATGTATCTCTTTAATTATTTTAAATCTTAAGTATTTTCTAAATCCGAGGTCAAAACAAACAAACAAAATAAGAATAAATTTCAAAATAAGTATTTATATCGAGTAATAACCAAAATAAAAAAAAAACA